TCCCTGTCAGTGTCTCATTTGGTTAGAGTGACAGGCTGAAACTTGTTCAGACTCTTCAAGTTCAAGATCACGTACGTCTCCCCCCACCTCCCTACAACATCCTTCCTGGTGGGATAGTTGCTTTTAAAACATCCTTCAGTAACTTCGTTCTGTGTGCAGGACTATCCCTTTCTCCTCCACCCCTTTGGCCGGGCAGCTCTAGGTCTCCAGCCCTGGCTCTCGACATAGTGAAATTAACCATCAAGAGAGGAGAGGTGCCAGGGTCAGGCAGTGCACTGGCCAACTGAGGTCTTGGAATCAATGCTGCAGACCCACCTGGTGTTCTGGTGTTTCCAGTTTCCAGCTCTTTTTTTTTTTTTAAGAAAGGGCTCCCTCTGTCACCCAGGCTGAAGTGTGGTAGCACGATCATAGCTCACTGCAGCCTCGGCCTCCTGGACTCAAGTGACCCTTCCATGCCTCAGTCTCCTGAGTAGCTGGGACTACGGGTACATGCCACCAGCTAATTTTTTTTTTATTTTTATTTTTTGTAGAGATGGGTTTTAATTATGTTGCTCAAACTGGTCTCCAGAGCCTTTGAGGGGCATCTGGAACCCTCTTGGCCTACGAGCTGGGCTTCTGAGGACCGTGACCAATGTTCAAATGTTAACACCCTCACAGTGCACCGCTTAGAACCCCCCAGGTAATCTGTACTTTCCACACCCTGTTTCCCCTGGTACTTTTCCCTCTGCCTGGAAGGCCCTTCCCACCCCTCAGCTCCTTTAGCATCCATCCTTAAAATAACTCAAATATCATCACCCTGTGAAATTCCCCCTTCCCCACTTCCGTTTCAGGTAAAATGAGAGACTTCCTCTTCTTAGTTCCCTGAATCTCTAGTCATTGTTCCCCAAACTTCATCAATGCACTGGTCACACATTTCACCATCCCCAAGGCAAAGTCTATGGCTCCTTCACTTCTCTTCCCTAGTACCCTCCCGGACTTCGTCTATAGTGTATCTTTAGCAAACATTTGATAAACAAATGAATCAATGAAGGAGAAAATCTAAATTTTGCAGAGAACTCTGGGTCAAAGTGCCAAAAAGTAGATCACAGGTTCCTTTTGCTCTGTGCAGAACAAAACTTTCTTGATTTAGTCACAACAGTGCTGAGCAAAAAAGACGTGATCGATGCTGAAGACAAAATCCACATCCTGAACAGCTAGGGACTATGAAGCTTCCTTGGTGTGTTTTGCTGAAGTGGACGGGGGAACCTTAGGGCCCCGCGGTTATTGGCATGCTGGCGTCCTGGGCAGGATGAATTGGCTGGTTGGTGCCAGACCCCCGTATGTCTGTACAAAGGTAGACATGTTGGTGGACCCTCAGTTTTGCTAAGGAGGATGTTAAGATTCTTGACGGATTAACAAAGGACCACAGAGCCTAAAATATTTCTGGAAAAAAGTTTACCAAAGATGATTTTGTTTCCTTTAAGAATATCCAGTAACACTATAACTCTACAAAATAAAGTGGCACAATTGTCTAACTAAGCCTCACTCCAGAGCATAAATTATGTAAAACTTGGAATCTTTTTTTTTCTTGAAAAGAAATACTGAATAGGGATGTATGAACAGAAGCCATGTCTGTCTTGAATGGTGGTGAGACAAGATGGTATATCCCCATGCCATTAACCCTGAGACCCGGGGCTTAAATACCATATGGAAAGGGTGAGTCAGAAGAGATGTGCAGGACGATTGAAGTATGATCATGTCAAGTCAAACTTGGAATCTTAAGAAAACTAAATATCCCCCTGCCCTTTTGTTGACATGAATCCACCTAACAGATACTTTTCCTTTACCCTAAAGATAGACATCATGGCTAGGCATAGTAGCTCATACCTCAAGCCTCATTCCTTGTAATCCTAACACTTTGAGAGGCCAAGTAGGGAGGATCTCTTGAGGCCAGGAGTTCAAGACTAGCCTGGGCATCATAGTGAGATCCCATCTCTATAAAATTTAAAAAAAAAAAAAAAATGCTGGCTGTGGTGGCACGTGCTTCTAGTCAGCTACTTGGGATGCTCAGGCAGGAGGCTCACTTGAGCCCAGCAGGTTGAGGCTGCAGTGAGCCAAGATCTTGCCACTGCACACCAGCCTGGGCAACAGAGGGAGACCCCGACTCAAAAAAAAAAAAAGGCTAGACATCAGCTTAGTCCTACTCAACGTTTGACTAATCTTGATTCAGTCAAAATGGAAAGAAATCTGAGTACAGGTTCCAGACTCTGTCCTGTTGTGCCCTTAAGATGAACTCGCAGTGAATGTGAGCACTCTGCTTGCGGAAGGCCTCATGTTTTGATTAGTCCTAGAAAGCGTGGATTCTTGTGGAGCGGCAGTGGCCCTGCCCATCAGGAACGGGTTCCCAGGTGTTCCGCTTGTGCATCTGGAAGGGCTCAGGCTTGTTTTCATGCTTTGCTGTTGCCCCATGAAATTCTTGAGTTTTGAACACGTGGCCCCACACTTTCATTTTTTACTGAGCCCCACAAATTCATTATGTAGCCAGTCCTGCTTCCCATCAATGGTTATAGGTTTCAGCTGCCTTTCAGGGAATGTGAAAGTAAATTCTCACATAATGAATTTTTGTCCTATACCCACACATCCCATGGAGGAAAACGCAGGGCAGGATCTTGCTTTGTCTCACCTACAAACTATATGCATCTGCGGTAGATGCTTAACTCTTCAGAGCCTCTTTGTTCTCAGCTGTAAAATGGTCTGATAATATCGATTCTGGTCTCAGAGGGTCGTTGTAAGGATCAAGTGAGGCAATGTCAGTGAAAACATGCATGTGGCAAATGGTGAAACTCTCACAGAAATGCCACGCATTCTTTCTTTAGGTGGGCAGGTCAGACACCAAAGGGAAGATTCCAAGAGGCCTCTGAGGAGTCTGAGCTGACCTCATTACTATTCTGCTGCTCCTCAAATCAGTCTCACAGTGCAGCCCGAGCCGTTTCCAAAATCAAAGCTATGCTCATGTCACTGCCCTGCTTAAAACCCTTCAATGGGCCCTCTTTGCCCTTAGGGATGGGGCGGGGGTCTTGTAACCCTGACTGTGGACCCTGATATATAAGTCTCTCTTAGATTAAAAGAGGCTCCAAATTTTAAAAATACCCGGAATAAATGGTATATAAAAGCAACACATAGTTGGTGTCTTCTTTTTTTTTTTTTGAGATGGAGTCTGGCTCTGTCGCCCGGACTGGAGTGCAGTGGCTTGATCTCAGCTCACTGCAAGCTCCGCCTCCCAGGTTTACGCCATTCTCCTGCCTCAGCCTCCCGAGTAGCTGGGACTACAGGCGCCCACCACCTCACCAGGCTAGTTTTTGTTTTTGTATTTTTTAATAGAGACGGGGTTTCACCGTGTTAGCCAGGATGCTCTCGATCTCCTGACCTCGTGATCTGCCCGTCTCGGCCTCCCAAAGTGCTGGGATTACAGGCTTGAGCCACCGCGGCTGGCCAAGTTGGTGTCTTTTTAAAAGAGACATTTCTCCCTAAAGCAAATGGATGGTCTAAGGGCATTGTTCAACTTGCCTTCAAGACCCAAGAGACTGAGCACCTTGACGGAGGCAACCAGGTCCTCTCCCATGACCTAGAACAGTCCCTGGCATGGAGTGGGTATGAAAGAGACGTTAAAGACTAGACTTGGAGGCAAGCAGAGCTGGAGGTCATATCTTCCCCTGCCACCTCTTAGGACTGTGACATGGAGCAAGTCACCCAGCCTCATTTTCCCTCATGATTATGGTGAGGATTAAATAAGGCAAGTGCATGGAAGTGCCCGCGACAGTGCCTGACACAGGGTAGGAAGCTATTGTGTGGCAGGTGCTATTCAATGAATTGTAGGATCTAGAGCTCAGTGTATCAGTATCAATGATCTTACTAAAACAGTGTGTATTTATGGAACCCTTTTATTGTGTAATGAATCAACATTTTATCCACTAACAATACACAAATGAACTATAATGTGGTCAAGATTAGTACTGTTAAGTTTCTCTAATGACTATATTTGAAACCTCTAAAAGTAATTCAATTTCATGTTCTGATTTGGGTTGCTCTGCCATTTTTGCACCTCTTACTTATAGATGGTTTTCTAAGGAATGTTTAAAACTGAGAACACTGTGGATCACCTCAATTAAAAAATGGAAACTCCCTTTTCAACTTACCCTTCTACACCCCAATTCAGTTCCCTAGAAGGTTTCATGCCCTTCGTTTTTATAGGGCTGTTTTGTAGTTTGTTTTTGTTTTTCTGGAAAGATAATTCCTAGATGAAATGTGGGGGTACTGCTTTGTGTTTAAATACAACCACTTGGGGTTCTCTTCTAGAGGATACCCAGGAATCTCAGGGTAAGGCATTTCTTCCCATAATCCCTCCCAGTGGCCCCATTTAGCCATTTTGAAGACATAGACCCATTAAGCTGTGTAAAGCCATTGACACCCTATGTAGGAACATGTAGACACCATTTTGTATACATTGTTTTTCCCAGAGGGTTTATGGACCCCGGGAGGTCCTCCCATGGTATCCTTAAGGATGAGCCTTCTAAACCAGATGGATGGTCTTAAAAATAAAAGGAAAGCATGCGTGGTCTCAGGATAAGAATTCCTACCCTTAGATATTAATTGCTAGTAAAAGCTTACTATACGCTCCTGCTCCTCTACCTTCCTGATGGACTTGCATTGTAACAGGGAGAAATGTGGCCCAACCAAGGGACTCAGATTATACTGGTGGAATTTGAATATCAGGCCCTAGCAACTAGTATGAAGTAGGGAAATTTGGGGCCAGGGGAAAACTGTTAGTTATTATTTATTTATTTGTGGTATGTTTACTTTTTTGGAATTTTTATACACAATTATGACCCAGTACCAAGTAACTCCCCAGCCCTTATATCTATAGAGATTTAATAGCTGGAATCCTAAACAAAGGTTATAAACCAAGATTGTAAACATATGAATAGAGATGAACCAAAGGTTAACACCCTGCTGTTTTACAGGATGAAGGATCATATTATATCAGTGAAGTGGGAGCCTGTTTGACTGTCTCGGATCCAGGTTAGTAATTACAGAATGCCCATTCTACCAGCCATGACATTGTTTCTGGTTAGCTCACCTTTCATGCTATTGAATCTGCTCATGTTTGATGCTGCTTTTTTTTTTTTTTGAGATAGAGTCTTGCTCTGTTTCTCAGGCTGGAGTGTAGTGGCACAATCTTGGCTCACTACAACCTCTGCCTCCTGGGTTCAAGTCATTATCCTGTCTCAGCCTCCTAAGTAGCTGGGATTACAGATGTGTGCTACCACACCCAGTAATTTTTGTATTTTTAGTAGAGATGGGATTTCACCACATTGCCGAGACTGGTCTCGAACTCCTGACCTCAGGCGATTCATCCACCTCGGTCCCACACAGTGCTGGGATTACAGGTGTGAGCCACTGCACCCGGCCAATGCTGCTTTTAAGGAACAGGCTAAGAAAGCAGCCAGAAATGTGATTTTGGGGGACTTTACTATGCCTCTGTGTGCTGTAATTTGCCCATCTGCTCGTAAATGAGGCTAGACTAGTATGATGTCAGAGATCATGATTGGCAACGATAAAGAGTTTAGTGGCTTTTTGACAGATCTGCTGTTGATAGTGCAGCTGATTCTATACTCTGGGAATCATACATTCACTCTACTAAAATGTAGTTAGTGCCTGCTAGGTGCTAAGCCCTGTATTAGGCATTGCGGATCCATAATATTTCAGACTAATAGATCTTACCCTCATGGAGTTTACATTCTAGAAGAGGAAGAGGGCAACAACACATTAAATGATAATACAGTAACCCCCCCACTTATTCACGGTTTCACCTTTCATGGTTGGTGCAAAAACAGGTGCGTACAGTACAGTTAGAGTTTCTGAGAGAGATCACACGCATATCACTTTTGTTATAGTGTGACAATTTTTCTATGTTATCATTAGTTATTATTTTTAATATCTTACTGTGACCAATTTATACATTAAACTTCATCACAGGTATATATGTGTATGCAGGAAAAAACATAGTATATCTAGAGTTCAGTATTATCCATGGCTTCAGGCATACACTGGTACACTGGGGGTCTTGGGATGTATCCCCTAAGGATAAGGGGGACTCCTGTGCTCTGTTAAGTAGTGATAATTTCTTTTTTTTTTTTTTGAGACAGTCTCGCTCTGTTGCCCAGGCTGGAGTGCAGTGGCTTGGTCTCGGCTCACTGCAATCTCTGCCTCCCAGGTTCAAGCGATTCTCCTGCTTCAGGCTCCTCAGTAGCTGGGATTACAGGCACCTGTCACCACACCTGGCTAATTTTTGTATTTTTAGTAAAGATGGGGTTTCTCCACGTTGGCCAGGCTGGTTTCAAGCACCTGACCTCAGGTGATCCATGCACCTCGGCCTCCCAGAGTGCTGAGATTACAGGCGTGAGCCACTGCACCCGGCCCAGTAGTGATAAATTCTATGAACAAACACAAGCAGGAGGAGTGGAGAGGAATTGAAAGCTATTTTAGGTGGGTCTATCCCTTATACTTTAGGGAAGCCCTCAGGGGAGAAAGGCCCTTTGAAGAGGTGAAGTTTGAGAAGAGAGATTCACCTCTTTGGGGATATCCGGGCCTAGGGAAGCTCTTTCCAGATGGCCAGAAGAACAGATGCACAGGCCCTAAGGGGTGAGCTGGCTAGTGTGTTCAAGGACCTGCAGGGTGCCAGTGTGCCTGGAGAGAGAACAAGCAGCAAATGTGGTCAAGGGACAGACAGCCAGGCCAGAGCATGTGGGGCCAGTGGGCAAGGCAAGGGTCAGGACTTTGGACTTTATTCTAAAGTGTGAAAGGATGCCACCAGGGGGTCTAGGGGAGAGAGGAAAATGATACCTCAGATTTACATTTATAAAGGTTCACTTTGGTTGCTACATGGATAATGACTCTAGTGGGGTAAATTCAGAGAACTCCTACAGTGTTCACTTCCAGAGAAGCAAAGCTCCCGCTCACACTAGATGTCTCTCAGAGGCCTCAAATGTTTCCCTGCAAAGTTAAATAACTTTTATTTTCTTGTATCCCCCTGTGCCAGGTACTGTACTAAGAGTTTTCATGTCTGTTTTCTCCTTTTCAAAGCTCTATCCTTTGACTAGCTTAAACATTATTTTACCAGTTAAGGAATTTATGCCGAAGAAACTTGCCAAGAATTGAAAATATGGAGTAATATCTACTTAAAATATCAGCTACATTGTATTGATATGTTCAGGGAGATTTGCCAATGATTGTTAAATGTAAGTAAGATAGCATAGTTGACAACTCATTTTCATATATGTTAATTCACTTAGACCTGTCTCATTTAGGATAGAGAATAAATATTGTGAGTGCTAACATCAGTTAGCTAATGTTATCACTAGGTATGGACCAGATTTTAGCCAGCAATAGAGTAGCAATCTCTTAAGAGGCAAGGGAGGCTGGGTGCAGGGGTTCATACCTGTAATACTAGCACTTTGGGAGGCTGAGGCAGGCAGATCACCTGAGGTCAGGGTTCAAGACCAGCCTGGCCAACATGGCTAAATCCCGTCTCTACTAGAAATACAAAAAAAATTAGCCGGGCGTGATGGCAATCGCCTGTAATTCCAGCTACTCAGGAGTTTGAAGCAGAAGAATTGCTTGAACCTAGAAGGCAGAGGTCGCAGTGAACCAAGATCACACCACTGCACTCCAGCCTGGGCAACAGAGTGAGACTCCGTCTCAAAAAAAAAAAAAAAAAAAAGGCAGGGGAAGTGAAAGACTGATCAAAAATTAATTTAGAGCTGAGGGTGTGGGAAAATCAATTCTAGGTCCTGATCCTAATGGCTGAGCAGGAGCTTAAGGAGTCACAGTAATGATGATTTTCATGTTAATGGGGGTATTAAGAATAGTAATCAGTTGTAATTACAGTAGTGACAGTTGTAATGTTAGTGGGGCTGGTAGTAGCAGACTATCCCAGGATATAACACATGATACGGTCGTGTACACAGAGAATTCAGTATGTTGTCTAGGGCATTTGCATGTACAGACACTGGCATTAATGCCACCTTGTTAATTCATCCTGGGACTATTCCTTACTGTAACTACTAAGTGGACCAGACAGTTGGGTCCTCTGACCAGTGAAATTTCTACCATTCAAGAAGCTATAGTGTAGTCAGAAGGGTGCTTAGTAAGCATGGAATTAGAGAAAATGGAGTTCATTGTATGATTAATTATTTTTCTTTTATTATTATTATCTATTTATTTTTGAGACAGTCTCGCTCCGTTGCCCAGGCTGGAGTACAGTGGCACGATCTCACCTTACTGTAACCTCCACCTTTCGGGTTCAAGCAATTCTCCTGCCTCCGCCTCCCTGAGTAGCTGGGATTACATGCACCCACTTCCACGCCTGGCTAATTTTTGTATTTTTAGTAGAGACAGTGTTTCACTATGTTGGCCAGGCTGGTTTCAAACACCAGACCTCAAGTGATCTGCCCAGCTCAGCCTCCCAAAATGCTGGAATTACAGGCATGAACCACCATGCCCAGCCTATTTATTTATTTATTTATTTTAGAGACAGTCTTGCTCTGTGTCCCAGGCTGGAGTGCAGTGGCGTAACCATAGGTCATTGCAACCTTGAACTCCTGGGCTCAGATGATCCTCCCACCTCAGCCTCCCAAGTACTTGGGACCACAGGCACGTACCACCATGCCTGGCCTCAATAATTAAAATGTTTAACTTCATCTGCCTTGAAGCCTCCACTTCCTTGAGCAGGGTATACCTGTCATAAGACAGGGCCAGTCCTTGAGCAGGTTTCTCTACCCAGACGGCCCTCAGATGGGAAGAGATGGGCCTCTCCCTTCTCTCTGTTTCTGTGGATGGATGCAACAACTCCTCCTAATGAGTTCTTTTTTTTTTTTTTGAGATGAAATTTCACTCTTGTTGCCCAGGCTGGAGTGCGATGGCGCAATCTCGGCTCACCACAACCTCCACCTCCTGGGTTCAAGCGATTCTCCTGCCTCAGCCTCCCAAGTAGCTGGGATTACAGGCATGTGCCACCACGCCTGGCTAATTTTGTAGTCTTAGTAGAGACGGGGTTTCTCCATGTTGGTCAGGCTGGTCTTGAACTCCTGACCTTAGGTGATCCGCCCGCCTCGGCCTCCCAAAGTGCTGGGATTACAGGCAAGAGCCACTGTGCCCGACCCTTAATGAGTTCTTGACCCTGCTCGTCTAATACATTCAGCCTGGCGATAGGCAAGTGCTGCATTTGCTGACTGTGTGTCCCTTCACTGATTCATTAAGGGTTCTGTGACTTTCTAAGTTTCAGAAAGCAATCTTCTCTTACCTCTAAAATTTTGGAGGCACCTCTCTGTAGCCCCCAAGTACTGACTAGTTCCCACCCACTCTGTCCCCAGTGATTTAAAATAACCAAAGAACACATTCTCAAAAGTTCTCATTTCAGTGTTTGCGCATTCCAGTTTATGTGAGGTGTCTCCCTTATACCCCAAACAGAGCAGCTGAAAAAGTCTCCAAACCGCACCAAGGTGTTTTTTCATGGGGAGAAGGTGGCAGAACCCCCAGAGAGCCACTCAGAAGGAAGTCCATTTAGCTGCACATGGGCAGCCCAGCCACAGCTGGAGCTCAGTGGATGCCTGTCAGGACTCTTAAGAAATCTATATGTCACCTTTTCAGAGACAATTTACCAAGGAATGAAGCATGCAGTGGTGATGTTCCAGGCAGCGGTCGGGCATTCCTTCAAGTGCGTAAGTGAACAGAGCCTCCAGCTGTCAGCCCACCTGCAGCTGAAAACAACCAATGTCCAACTTCAAGCCTTTGATTTTGAAGATGACCACTTTGGAAATGGTAAGTTAAAGATGGATTGGGTTGCAAACATACACTTTAGAGTCCCCAGGGTAGATCCAAATGGTTTTCTGTCTGCAGATGTCCAAGGAGCCAGCATGTCATGAGCTTCCTGGGACAGTATGATTCCACGCAGCTCACAGGGCCAGGCTCCTCTGGCCACCTCAGAATCAGGCACCTGCACCCACCCAGTCACAGCTGTCCCACAGCAGATTACATTCTCTTAGACTCTCACACATTCTCATTCATTTAAACACTCATGCGCTCAATCAAAACAGAAAATACCACCTGCGACTTCCCTTTATGTCCTGGTGGGTGTAAATTCAGATATGTTTGGAGAACACTTTAAAGATCCTCAGTATCAGTAATGTCTAAAATCAAGATTTGAGGATAGTTTCTTTCCCACCTGCAGAGGGAAAAGAGCAAAATGGAGCAATTCAAGATAGAAGGAAACCCCCTCATCTCAATTACAAGCTGTTGCACCCAACAGTGTTTCCTGAGAGTTGGTTTTAGTTTCCCTCTAAATTCTGCTTTGAGTTCTGACCATCACAGGCAGAGCTTGCCTGATGACTGCCCTGGAGGAAAACAGATCCCTGGGCCAGGGCCAGGAGCCGACCAGGGTGACTTTCCAGAACAGCCCTCTTCTCCCTCCCAGGAAAACAGTGTTACGAGGATTTCTACATATGCCCAGGAGGGTCATGTACTTCAATTTCTAAAACATCCCTCTCATCATAACTAAAAAATGTGCTCAGACCTTCCCAGTTATCAAAAATAGATTTAGCTAGAAGTTTAGCCATCTTTTAAATGTCTACAATATGAATCTGATTTTGCTTTGGGTTCCATCATGAAATGGCAGATGCGTGTAGCAGAAAACTTGTCCGCAGGTACTCAGTGGGAGGCATTTGGCAGAGGAAGGACTGGGCGTTGCTTGCCTTGGGTCCCCTGGTTTCTGTAGGCTTTGTCGGAGTCCCACAGTCATATGAAAATTTGCCAGTAGGGGTTGCCCCCATTTGTCATCCACTCTCAAAACTTCTAGTGTTGGAAAACTATTTCTTTCTTTTACAATCATTATGAAGGTTTGAAAAACTTCTGTAATCGTGTGATCCTAAAAAAAAGGTACACACTTGCTCTTCTTCCCCTTCAGAAGCTCTGTGAAGCAGGAAGTGATCAGGTCTGGGAAACCTCTTAGTGGCAGAGGTGGGAAATAAAACCTTTCAGCAGGACGTGCCTGGCCTCGTATTAGCAGTGTTCACAGGGATGCATAGAAAAGCTCTCTTGTCTTTACATTTTTTTTTCTTAAAACCATCATTAATTGGATAGTTTTCCAAACAACAGACTTCAGAGTTCTCCTTAACTCCTCTCCCTCCAGCAGCCTCTCATACAAATAGTCACAAAGCCCTAACAATTCCACTTCCAAAATGTTCCCCTTGTTCTCCCACTGTCACCCTGTCAGCTCAACGCCATCTTCCTAGTGTTTGCACTTCAGATTTCACTAAAGATGCTCAAATGCGAAGAGGCATGTCATTCTGTAAATAGGATTTTCTAGCAGAGAGTAAGAGAAGGGGGAAAAGAGGAGCAGGTTACCATACCATATGGTGTTTAAAAGATACATGTGCAGAGGGTTATGGGAGCCCAGAGGAAGCTGTGATTGACAGCATTGCTGATGAGAGGGTGAACTAAAGAAGTCTTGACTGATGGGCGATTTTTAAACAGAGGCTTGAAGAACTGGAGAGGAATCCAGCAAGTGTCAAAGCTGAGACTTGTAAAAGATAATGGTCATCCCAAACAGTAGACTCCTGACTCCTAAAATCCCCTCCTCCCTAAAATCCTGGAGCCTGCATACATTGTTTTTTGTTTATTGAGTTTTAGGGTTTTTGCTGTCCTTTCCTTTGGCTGTTTATTATGCTGTTTTAGCAGCCCCAAGCTATCTGAGCAGCCCCTTTAAGAAACACAGAGTTAGGGCCAGGTGTGTTGGCTGACTCCTGTAATCCCAGTACTTTGGGAGGTCAAGGCAGGCAGATCACTTGAGGCCAGGACTTTGAGACCAGCCTGGCCAACATAGCAAAACCCCATCTCTACTAAACATACAAAAAATTAGCCCGGCATGGTGGCATATGCCTGTAATCCCAGCCACTCGGGAGGCTGAGGGATGAGAATCACTTGAAACCAGGAGGCAGAGGTTGCAGTGAGCCGAGATTGTGTCACTGCATTCTGGCCTGGGTGACACAGTGGGACTCTGTCTCAAACTATTACTAGAGTTGGACAATATGACTCCGGGAATTACTCTAAGTTGAGAATCAAGACATAACTCTGATCACAACCCTCTAGGCCAAACTAGCACATTTTCTCAAAGCTGGATCTGCCTGGAAGCAGCATCAGAATCCCACCGGCCCCAGCTCAGACCACTGAATTATAATTTCCTGGGCCTGTGTCTGGAGATCTGCAATTTAATAAGCTCCCTAACTAATTACCAGTGCTACACATGTCAGAGCCACTGTGGCTCTGAGAGGATCTGAGAAGGAAAGATCCCTTTCCCTCTCATTTTCACCCACTGTGGTCTGAGCCCCGGCAGCTCCATCTCTCCCTCAGTCTCCTTCTCTCCAAAGCTGAGGCAGATGTGGCAGTGCCACTTCCCAGCATTTGTGGCCAGTCTGTAACACTTGTTACTCTGACTTCAATTACAGCGGATGAATGCTTCAGTGACAGAAACAGGAGAGAAATCCCTGTGGCCATGGGCCTGAGTATCACAGGACTGCTTGTCATTTTGCTAACCGCATGTCTGGTGGCCAGAAAGAGGCCCAGTAGAGGATATGAACGCATGTAAAGCCCCACTTTCTTCAAAACGTGCAAGGTTAAGGTCTTGGGAATTCCGGCCTCATATTCAGCCTGAAGTGAAAGGATTGACCTGTCTCGTTGCCTGTTGCACCCTCCTGAGCTGATTAGGAAACCTAGCTTCCCACCAAAGGGCTACCCCAGGGCTAGGAAACGGCACCTCCCCACTTCCTCCTGTTGCCTTGGGGAGGCCATGCCAGGTGTGCTTGACACCCTCTGCCACACCTGAATATACCAGTGCTGGCTTCCGGAATTAGGGGCAATAGGCAGAGACATGAGCGGGGTGCTTGTGAGAAGGGAGGAAGCAAAAACCTGGAGGGAGAATCGTGGCGAAGACATTTGCAAATTGACTGATTTTTCTTAGACATTTTCAAGAGTCCTGATTTTCAGTTTTCAAAAACATTACTTTAAAAAAAATCAATGCATTTCAAAGTTGGTTACAAAATGATTTTAAACTCCTGGATTTTACCAACATTTGGTTTACTTAAATTATAGATGATCTTAGTATACTATTATTTTTTTTAAAAGCATATCCTACTCTATGGTAATGTATTATCCGTTTAAAAAATTAGGTAACTGCCTATTTCACTTTTTTAATTTAAAGCACATATCAAAGATCATGGCAAAAAAGGAGGAGCTCAATAAATATTAGCTCTTCCGTTCCTTCAGCTTCATGTGTTGTCTGCCTTGTTAGCTACTTTTTTCCTGGTTTGTCGGCTTTTCTTTGATGCTGTTTTATTCTTGTAAATGGGTCCATTTGGACCATTGCAGGAGAGGAGGGAGGCAGAGCAGGGAAACAATCCGGAATGGCAAGCAGGAAGAGGTAGACCCGCCTGCAGGATCACTCACTTCCCTTTTATGCAAACATTCACCAAAAGCAGTACATTCCTGATGGCAGACGGTTGATATCTGAGGAAAAATGCTATTAAAATATGGCTTAGGATGTTATTCATGGTTTCCTATTACATTGATTGGGGTTCAGAGAAAAGGGAGAGGAATGTTCTTAATTGATTCAGAGAAAGGGGAGAGGAATGTTCTTAATTGATTCAGAGAAAGGGGAGAGGAATGTTCTTAATTGATTCTACTGACTGGAAGTTTTCTTGTTTTTCCAAATTTTCCAGAGGTGCCATTCATTATTTTTAACATGACGTTTATGAAATTTGACAACTCTAAAACTACTGCTTATTTGGGAAATGTACTGACTCCCCAGGAGGCATTTTTGCTCTCCTTGTTTTCTTAGAAGTGGGGCTGTGGGCGAGGGAACACCGCAGCTTCAAAAGAGCGCTAAGAGCCCCTGAAGACATCCAGAGTGTCAGGAAATGTCTGTTTCCCTCTTAAAACAGGATACGTTGATGACAATCTGATATGAGGACCCAGGAGTTCCCCCAGGTGACTCAGGCTTAACAGCAAGAGCTTGGCTTTGGAGAGCTGCGATCTCTTTCCACCTCCTCCTTTAAACTGTCTCCTGCTCCAGGCTCCCCTGTGTCCAGTGTTAAGGGCACTTGAAAGTTCTGTAGGGCAGAGGACAAGGTGTTTATTCACCGGCCACTCACCCTTCTGCAGAATGATTAATGTAAGATTTACCTTCTAGCATGTGGAAATCCCTCCCCTCGCAGATGAAACAGAAGCAGAATTTAAAATCAAGTGTAGAGGGATATGACCATTCACTTAAATTTAATTTTCCTTCCTACCTTCTTCAGGGAGTTCTTTTGGATGATGGCCACTGCTTGGACTCCTGCTATCTATTCCCCCCACCCCAGTACCAATTATTCGTAGAATTAATTTGAATTGGCATTCTGGTAACACAAAAAGCAAAGGTTTCATTGGAATGGCCAGTAAATAAATGCTTGGATGTGTAATTTACTCACAGTCCTGCCCACTTTCCAGGTGGAGAGGAGAGGGGGCAGTGGAGATGGGCTCCCCATCTGCCTCCCCTCCTAACCACACACACATCCACCCTAAGAAGCCTGTGATGAGAGGGAAAAAAAAAAATCTGTGAACTCCTCCGTTACTAAATCTGGAGGAAAAAAAAAAAGAGTGGATTGCTTTATCTTCTTCCTTTTCTAACCTAGGATAGTGAAAATGGCTCCCAGGAAGACTGGGAAGAGTAAAGGTAGGGACTGGTGGCGGAGAACTGGGGAAGCAACCCCAGGGCCGAGGATCGCTCCAGGCTGTAGCTAGTTTCCATGCTACAAAAAAGAGAATAGAATCCAAATATCTAGCCCAAAGGGAAACATCAACTGAAGTCAGATGCCATGGAAAGAAAGACCGTAATTCACCCAAATGGCATCATAGGAAATGGAGTATTTGGACTGACATGCTCAAGCATAAGCAAAATGAAAACCAACTGCATGGTCACTGTGCCAAAATACTGCAGCAAAATCAGAATAGTATGAAATTAAATTAAGAAAAGGAGTGAGGGTGTATTAGTTTGCTAAGACTATCTTAGGAACATACTACAGTCTGGATGCCTTAAATAACAGAAATGTGTATTCCCACAGTTCTGGAGGCTAGAAATTCAAGGTCAAGGTGTCCACAGCATTGGTTTTTCTGAAACTTCTCTCCTTGGCTGTAGATGGCCTGTGTCTTCATGTGGTCTTCCTTCTGTACCTGTCTGTATCCATGTGTCCTCTTTGTATAAGGATACCATTCATACTGGATAGAGGCCCACCCTATTGACCTCATTTTCACTTATTGACTTCTTGAGACACCCTGTGTCCTAATACATGTTCTGTGCTCCTGGAAGTTAGGACTTCACCATGTAAATTTGGGGGAAGGGAGGGGAGACAATTTAGTCCATAACAGAAAGTTAGAAATGAAAATAGTAAAATACAAAGAAAACATAATTCAAGGAACAGAAAGAAATTCCTGACGATTGCTTGATGCTGAGAATCACTTAATGTGAATTCCAGATAATCAGAGTTTAAAGATAAGATGTTAAAATGAAAGAGTAAGAAAACAAGAGGAATGTCAAAGCAATACACTACATAATGTATAGAAACAGTAAGAGGCAGAATAAATAGGGAGGAAATTATATTATTTTCATAGAGAGAATGACTGAAATCATTACAGGTAAGACAGATAAACCTTATGATTAAAGCATTACAGGGAAGCTACTAGATATACAAGCTACTCTGACATAGAGACCTCAAAAATAGAATGACAATATATTTGAAGATTTAAGGACATTTCCTTGAGATAAATCATTGAAGTTGGGATTAAAAGAGCATGTCCCAAAAAAGAATTGATACCAAAAGTTTAACACCGGGACATATCAGGAACAAGCTATAAAACTTCAAACATAAAGAAGTCTTTAGGCCTTTATGGAAAATAAAATAAAATCACCTGTAAACAGGAAAGTTAAAGTTGACCTCCAATTTCTTCACAACAACATTTAAAACCAGCAAATAATTTCTACAATGATCTAAGACAAAAAAGTATGACCCAAAAATATCAAGTATAAAGACAATAGGCAGATATCTTTTGTTTGTTTGTTTGTTTTGAGACAGTCTTGCTCTGTCACCAGGCAGATATTCTTAACTATGAAATAATTCAAAGGATACAGCACAAGTAAGCCCTTCTAAAAAATATTGCTTGACAATGAAATTCACTGAGAGAGGAAATGAGTCGCAATATAAACAAGGAAATAAGCAGCCTTTAGGAATAGAAAAGTCACAGTAGGACTGGTGTAGCAGCTCATACCTGTAATCCCAACTCTTTGGGAGACTGAGGCAGGAGGATTGCTTGAGCCAAGGAGTTTAAGACCAGCCTAGGCAACATAGCAAAACCCCATCTCTACAAAAAATACAAAAATTAGCCGGGCATGGTGGTGCATGACTGTAGTCCCAAACTACTTGGAAGGCTGAGATGGGAGGATGACTCAAGCCTGGGAGGTCCCGGCTGCGGTGAGCTGCGATCGCCACTGCACTCCAGCCTGGGTGACAGAGTGAGACCCTGTCTCTAAATCAACAAATAAAATAAATGGAAAAAAAAGACTGATGCTGGTGAATAGTGGATCCATTTACATATAAAATGTACTAAACAATTATGGGTCTGGGAATACAAACACACTTTTCCATATATGAAATGATATTTGTACATGGTTATTCATTACAACATTATTTGTAATAGCAAAAAAATGAAAACAAGCCAAGGGTCCATCAGTAGGGGCCAGATTTTAAAACTGATTCATCCCACAATGGAATCCTTAAACAGCTACAAGAAGAATGAGGATGCTATGTATGTTTAAGGAAAGAGTTCCAAAATATATTATATCAAAAAAGTATAGTGCATAATAGTATATTCATTATTGTCCTATCTGCACAAAGAAACATCAGAAATATAAACAAGAACTAAGGAAAATAATTATCTAATGGGGACAGGAAGAACTAAGAAGAAGGGGCAAGGGTGGAAGTGAAACTTCTCAATGTACAGCATCTTGTATTATTTTGACTTTTTAAATCATATGAATGTGTTAAATAGTCAGAACACTTTTTTTTTTTTTCTTTTTTTTGAGACGGAGTCTTGCTCTGTCGCCCAGGCTGGAATGCAGTGGCACAATCTCGGCTCACTGCAAGCTCCGCCTCCCGGGTTCACACCATTCTCCTGCCTCAGCCTCCCGAGTAGCTGGGACTACAGGTTCCCGCCACCACGCCCGGTTATTTATTTATTTATTTATTTCGTATTTTTAGTAGAGACGGGGTTTCACCATGTTAGCCAGAATGGTCTCGATTTCCTGACCTCATGATCTGCCCACCTCGGCCTCCCAAAGTGCTGGGATTACAAGCGTGAGCCCGCGCCCAGCCAGTCAGAACACATTTTTAAAGATTACAGGAATGATAGTTATCAAATAGAATTGAAGTGTTACAAACCTATACAATGGATCAAGGTCAAAGATTGTTTCCTTAAATTGAAATAGCAACCAAAACATTCTTCACACAGGGGCTTGGTGGGTGGCTGCTGGCAACGTATTTTATTGTGGGCTTCTTGATGATAAAGTTTAAGCTAAAAACTTCAAAAATTAATAGTTTTTAAAACATTTTTTACTTAGCAGGCAATTGAAATGCATGGTACAAAAATAAGTGATAAGGTTATTGTAAAATGAAATGGACAGAATAAATATTTGATTTGATTTTCTGTCTGTGAGAATTTCACAATAAAATCAGTTTACTTTGTAAAAAAAAAAACAAAACGAAACAAAAAAACCTAGACAATGTTAAAAACAGTAACATAACTATTCAAAATTTGGAGTTGTCTGGGCACAGTGTCTCACGCCTGAAATTTTGGGAGGCTGAAGTTGAAGGATCACTTGAGGCCAGGAGTTCAAGACCAGCCTAGGCAACATAGTAAGACCCCATCTCTCCAAAAAATTTAAAAAGTTGCTGAGTGGGGTGGCATTTGCCTGTACTACTAGTTACTTGAGAAGTTGAGGTGGGAGGATGGCTGACCTCAGGAGTTTGAGGCTTCAGTGAGCTATGATTATACCACTGCACCCCCGCCTGGGCAACAGAGCAAGACCGTGTCTCAAAAAAAAATTTTTTTTTGGAGTTGAAGAGAGGGGAGATGCAAGGGAATCTGTTAGTGCTAGTCGTTCAAAACAGTATCAATAGATAATGTTTAAACTGGAAACAAGGTTTAGCAAGCACAAGTCCAATTTACTTTATAACCTCTTAATGCCTTTTATAATTGTTTAATGCATACTTCAGAATCTCTTTCTACAACTTTAAAGGGGCCCCTTATGAACCAATATTTCCCATGACATTGGTGTGTGATAATTCCTTCAGTTTAAGTTTTTTTCTTCTATTAAGTGCAAGTAAAATTGAAATTAACAAATGTAATAAAATAGTACTTGTATGATCCTATCTTAATAAAAGTATTTCTATTTATTTTTCTAACCTATCTATCCTTGTAGTTCTAAAGAAAGATGCCTGAAATAATGTTTCTCCATGTTAGCAATGACATTTCTGGGTGGATGGCCCTGGGGTAATTGGTTTCACTTTTTTGTTTGTGATTTTCTCTACTATTTTAGTTATTTATAATGAGCATAGACTATTTAAAATAGAGTGATTTTGCTTTAAGCACGCACGTGAGTTTGCACATGTGTGCGTGCACGCGCACACACATACACACACATATTCACAGAGGAACCACATGCTCAAAAAGGTTTATAGTGATTGATTCAAATAGAAGAAATGTGGTGATTGGATCAGTCACTACTTTTCTTTGTGTACTCTTTTGCATTTTAGAAATGTTTAAACAATGTTAAATAATTTAATCATTTAACAAAACTGTATAGACAGTAAAAGTTGCCCTCCACTTCCCTCCCAGTCCTCCTCCCAGTTTTTGGTGTATCTTTGCACACCGGACCCACCAGCACATGGGTTTGGGTTCACACGATGCTTCACGGATCTTAGGGAACTTCTGTTATAGAACGCGGAGACCTGCCACGTTCTTTTTAATGGCCATATTATTTTCTATTGTCTGAACACTATTTTAGTTTTTACGTATATTTAAATTGTCTCTCATAAAATGAGCAGTGCTGTAATATATCTTTGCATAGTTGTGCGAATATATCTTTGGGATAATTTCCTAGAGATGGAATTATTGGGTCAACAGTTGTGTGCTTTACCTTTTGTTTTAACTTTTTGTATTTTTTCCCACTCATTTTAATTCCTTAAAACTTGTCAAAGTTCTTTTTTTATTTAAGAAATATAGGCCAGGCATGGTGGTTTATGCCTGTAATCTCAGCACTTTGGGAAGTCAAGGACTGTGTGAGCCCAGGAGTTTGAAACCAGCCTGGGCCACATAGCAAGACCTCATCTCTAAAAAATAAAAAATTAACCCGGCATGGTGGCACACACCCCTAGTCCCAGCTACTCAGGAGGACAGGGTGGGAGGATGGCTTGAACTCAGGAGTTCCAGGCTGCAAAAAAAGAGAAGCATATATAAGTAACAAAGTTTCATGTACTCCAAAAGGTCTTATCATGGAAAGCAACATATCTCTGTCGCCCTGCCTCCCTGCCCCAAGATACAAAATACATTTAACTAATTTTAACAGTTTCGTCTAATTGCTATCTCCATAACTCTAAAAAGTAAAAGGTTTATCATGATAGTTCCTAATTGATCCATTTTAGACTTCCTGCTATGGCACATAAAGATTTGTGGTTACACAACTATTTTTGGTTAAATCAGTAAGGTATTAAGGCATGCATTATTACAGTTTTATAAATATTGGCTGCTGTCAAGCCAAGTAGTGTACTACAAGCACAGTTTCTTTCCTGTCCAATTTTCTTTTTCCTGGAATCTCTGATTGCCACTCTGTCTTCTCTGACCTCTTCTGATCCTTTTATTCTTGGATATCAGGTACACTGAATTGCATTGATGGCGATCCTTGGTTCAGGACATAATTTCAGTGTTGGTTCATACAACGACCTCACACATGTATCTTTTTAGCTATCTATGACTAAGACATGGTTCTTCATTTATTTGCCCTTTTCTCCCAGTCTCTTCATTATTCTATCAACTTCCCCCTTTTCCCCAGACCCCTCCGTCTTTCCTCAGTTGAGATTTATTAGTCTCTGACTCAATCAATTACATTTAGATGAATTGAGTAAGCGCTTTCTAATGGTATAAAGAAAAAACAGTTTTGATAAGTTTGTAAACTCTCACTTTTAAGCTCTCATAAATAATTTGGTCTGTTTTCTAATATTAGCTAAAAGTAATACAATAAAACCTTAGGAGTGACAAAATTATTTTATAAAATGGATAAAAATCATGTTTCTCAAGAGATCATCTGTAATCTGGTCACTGGTCACCAAATGGTCTTTGTTTTGTTTTTGTCTTTTGTTTTTGTTTTTGTTTTTTTGAGATGGAGTTTCACTCTTGTTGCCCAGGCTGGAGTGCAATGGTGTGATCTCGGCTCACCACAACCTCTGCCTCCCGAGTTCAAGCAATTCTCCTGCCTCAGCCTCCCGAGTAGCTGGGATTACACATGTGTCACGTGCCCGGCTAATTTTGTATTCTTAGTAGAGATGGGGTTTCTCCAAGTTGGTCAGGCTGGTCTCGAACTCCTGACCTCAGGTGATCTGCCCACCTCAGCCTCCCAAAGTGCTGGGATTGCAGGCGTGAGCCACCGCGCCCAGCTGGTCTCTTTTTTTGTAAGCATATCCCACTTAGCAGGCAGTATGCCTGGAGTGACTTCTTAGTTCGGGAAATGAGGATTATGATTATTGAATGTTAATTACTGAGAAAATATGGTTATTTAATCTTCTAACAGTCTTACATATTATTTGCTGACTTTATAAATTAGGAAATTGCAAAGGTAAATTACCTGTCCGAGGTCACAAAGCTAGTTAATGGTGGAGTTAAAAGTCAAGCTTTGTTTGATGCCAAAGCTCATCTTCTTTCCCCTCTAGCCTACTTTCTGGACTGCATCACCAAACCTTACCCACTGTATTGTATTTGTTTTCTCTCTTAGTGGATGAGTGCTCGTCTGACTACACAATTGTGCTTCCTGTGATTGGGGCCATCGTGGTTGGTCTCTGCCTTGTGGGTATGGGTGTCTATAAAATCCGCCTCAGGTGTCAATCATCTGGATACCAGAGAATCTAATTGTTGCCCAGGGGAAATGAAAATAATGGAATTTAGAGAATTATTTCATCACTTCCAGGATGGATGTTGGGAAGTTCCCTTAGAGTGTGGGTCCTTCAGACAATGTAAACCACCATCTTCTACTCAAACCAAGTGAGTCATGTGTGATTTAAGTTCA